ATCACACAAAACTAGTAAGAAGTCGCAAGAATAATAGTCAGTCACCTACCTATAATAAAATTACTCTCAGGGCCGTAGCTTACTTATAAACATTGACTCAACTCACTTACCTACAAATTTGTATTTCTCGTTTTAGATGTTTCAAGTATTTTATTTAACATATTTTAGCGTTTTTATTTTACTTGAAGCTTTTTAACTAATGTTAAGCCCTAGCCTACCTACAATTGTTTAACTCATCTCAGTCCCTAACTTACCTATGAATTAAATTAAAGCCCGGTTCACGGTAAAGAAAATATAAAGTTGAAGAGAAACATAGCAACAACGACACCAAATGAATGGATGTTGTATATGTATGTGTTGTATTGATGTGTGTATTTGTAAATGTGCGGGCGCGCACTCTCCAGAAACTTCACTCACTACCAACGAACCTCCATTGCACTGACCATCACCTGACACGCATCGATGGAATGAATTTAACCGGATACTGAAAAATAAATTGAAAAAAAAATTAATTCACTAAAATAAAAAACAAGCAATTGGAAAAAATAGGCAACTTATCTTTTTGAGATAATACTCAATCTTTGTTCAAATTCGAGTACTTTCAAAGGTACAATGAGACAAAAACAAATTTACCTTTAACACTATCTTCGATTTGTCATCGGAACGTTCATCATGAGACCACCATCTGAAACGTGCTGACGCCCACCACAGCCCACCTCTCATCATCATTCTGTAGACAAGTTTTTATTAATTAGCGAAGTAGTAAATCAAGAAACAAAGGAACGAACGAATAAATGATTAACTGAATGATTGAACGATTGGTTGAATGAATAAATTAACTAATTAATCAACCAATGATTTAATGAATGAATAGAATGAATCAATGAATAAATTAACTGAGGAATAATTTGAAAGATAGTGATAAAATGAATGAATGAATGAGAAAAATAAAAAAATGAAACTAAATCATACTTCAAAAACCGTCGTTGTTGTTATCTTCGAATTGTAATCGGAACGATCATCATGAGACCTCCATCAGAAACGTGCTGAAAATGCCCACCACAGCCCACCTCTCATCATTCTGTAGACATTTTTTTAATAGCGTATTAGTAAATCAAGGAACAAAGGAACGATCGAATAAATGATTAACGGAATGATTGAATAATTGGATGAATGAATGAGCGAATGAATGAATTAATTAATAAATCAATGATTCAATTAATGAATGGAATGAATTAACGAATCAATTAATAGAAGAATAATTTAAAAGGTTGAGTGATAAAATGAACGAATGAGAAAAATAAAAACGAAACTAAACCTTACTTCAAAAATCGTCGTTACTGTACTTTCCATTGCACCGACCACCACCATCTGCAAAATACCATCCGAACTTCAGAGTGTCAGTCGAACAGCCAACGAGCTGATTCTTCCTACACCACCATCATCATATGTAAATCATCATGAGACCCCCATCTAAAACGTGCTGACTCCCACCACTGCCCACCTCTCATCATTCTGTAAACAAAATTTTTTTATTTGCGTAGTAGTAAATGAATGTTAGAATCTTAGAAGCAAAAAAAATTAAATTATAAAATGAAAATAATGTCAAATAAATAAAATTTTAAAATAATAAAGTAAAATGTAAAAAAACTTACCGTCGTCCATTCGACAAAGGCAGAATGTTGAATGCGGTCCGGTTCCTACGTTGTTCTCCAAAACTGCTGCCAGTCCTCCTCGAGGTTGTTGTTGAAACACAGCCCGTGTTGATGGAGAAAGATAGAGAAAGAGTAGATTCTCATCAGAAAGCTTAGCGGTGCCTGCATCTCAAATTGCTTAATAAAAATAATCCTATCTACCTATTCAATTACCTTAACTAATCTATATTAAATTGTTAATGGTACGATAGTCGAAAGTCCCCCTTCATTCTTCCTCCTTGCACAGAGGTTCACCGACAGCCAGGGCACCGGATAGAAAACCATTGCCGTGCGGATAGTAGACTATTGCCGTGCGGATAGTAAACCATTTGCCGTCCGGAAGCCGTGCGGGTAGTAGACTATGGCCGTGCCGCATGGTAAATCATTACCGTGCAGATAGTAAACCATTGCCGTCCGGATAGTAAACCATTGCCGGTACAGCACTGGCCACCAAGGCTTACCTCTGACAACAGACTTCGAAATTCAGAGTCTATCGGCTATCGTGCCCTCAACTTACCTATTCATTACAATTAAGCCCTAGCTTACCTAAAATTACAAAAAAACTCAAGAGCCCAATTCATTTGCCAATCGGCACCCACCCCACCACCTACGTAATGCCTTGGGCTCCAACCTAATAATAATAATGTAAAACTTAATAACTAACTTACCTCTCGATACACTTACAGCGTTTATTTAATTTAAATTACAAGGTTGTTCCTAGAATTAAATTATTGCTTTTAACTACCTATGAAATTAAATTACTCTCAACCTTAGTAATAATAAATTAGAATGTGTAATGAAAATAAAATAACGCTCAAATACTAATATGTGTTTATGTATGTATTTGTGTTTGTGTGTGTATAATACGCTGATGCGTGTAATGTGGGTGCGAGAAAAAATAGAAGAGATAAACTTACGCTGCCTACCTATTCAACTACATTAGTGTTGGATGCTTCCTATCTATCCTACCTACAATTAAAATTATGCCTATCTAACCTACCTATATAGCTACTTAATGTAATTGTGTGTATGTGCGTGTGCGTGTGAGCATTCTTACTTAATGTTAAAATACAGAGAAAAACAGAGAAAAAAGAATAAAACG